ACAGTAGTGAAGAAGCGAGCAACCGTATTCCGCGTGTCCAACGAGGTCATTTTCCATCCTCGCTCATGGTATGGTTGGGAGTTTCTTATTGGGGCTTAACAGAGGTACATTTTTGTGAGAAAGGTGTAAAAACGAATGCAGTTGTGTATCAAAATACAGTCCTGACGAACCTTGTGGAACCTGTTTCTCATACCATGTTCAATAACAGGCACTGGGTATTCCAACAAGATTCGGCGCCAGCTCATAGAGCGAAGAGCACACAAGACTGGCTGGCGGCGCGTGAAATCGACTTCATCCGGCACGAAGACTGGCCCTCCTCCAGTCCAGATTTGAATCCGTTAGATTACAAGATATGGCAACACTTGGAGGAAAAGGCGTGCTCAAAGCCTCATCCCAATTTGGAGTCACTCAAGACATCCTTGATTAAGGCAGCCGCCAATATTGACATGGACCTCGTTCGTGCTGCGATAGACGACTGGCCGCGCAGATTGATGGCCTGTATTCAAAATCACGGAGGTCATTTTGAATAATCTTTAGTGTCATAAGAATCTATGTTTTGTTAAGTTCATTTTGGTATATGAATGGTTACATAATGAATAAACTTGTTTCAATTATTTTACATTAAACATGTGACAGAATTTATGACCTGACTAGGTATTTTGTGTAGTTTTAAGTTTCTTTTATTGTATATTGTTGTTGTATTTAGTGTTTAGTATATTTTATGTTAAATTAAATAATAATAATATTTCCGGACAAAAAGTTAAATTTTATATATACATAGTGGCGGCTACGCATCCTCTGCGCCCGTGGCCCGATGGAGCGGCTCCGCTGCCGGCTGTTCAGTTGGCTCGCAACTACGGACACGTGTGACGTATATGTTTTTAAATAACGCTGCTTTCGCTTCGCTGTAATTTTTAAATCTAACTTCAGCTTTGTCCTGTGCTTTCTCGTTAAGCTTATACTCCTTCTGTATGTTCTGAATTCTTCTTGTGGTGTGGACTATTATTGTGATAAAAGTACAAATAAACCTACAGACACGGCTAAGCGACCTGGAAGCTAAAATGACCTCATCCTTTGAAGAGCAAAACGTTTTTCGCGACGACGGCGGCGCTGACATTATCGACAAAATCGACGAGGTCGGAGTGACTATAGAGAAAACCGCCAAGAGCGTCAAAGTCATGGTCTGCTCCCAGAACACCCTCGGCGATAGGCTCGATGATATTGCCGGTGATGTCGCGTCAGCTAAAACTTCACTTGACGAAGTCGCTAAGCGAGCAAAGACCTATCTCCAGGTCGTATGCCAGCGTTGCGGCCACCAAATCAGGGCCAGTTAGCCAATGAGAAGATCATTTGCAGATACTGCCCGAATAACTCCATCATTTTCGTCCACGTATCCTCCAAAAATTCACACTGACCTCTCTCAGCCACCAACGGCGGATCCGGGGGGGGTGTCATAGGGCTCTCTGAGCTGGTTCCAGAACTTAGGTGGACCATAATGATTTCTTCTCCTTTCTGTACGTTGCGCAGAATTAAATCGTGACCAAGATCTTCAATAGTTGAAGATCGCCTAACCGGACTAGCACTTCTCCACGTTCATAAAAAACGTACCCATTGAATTTGTTATTTAAATATATGTATTTTGTCTGTTTCTATTTTGTTTGTTGGAAACCCTTGTCATACCACCTCTTCACTTTTGCGTCATACCCCTCGACATACCTCTAGCTGTTAAGAGACAAATTATTCACCACGGTTATGGAATATAAATAGGCTGCCTCATAGAGAAGATGGCAATATGTACGTGTATATGTACAAGTTATTATGTATTAAGTTTCTCAAGTGTACAATAAATAATAAATATTTTTAAGTACAGTTACTTAGTACATTAATAAAATACCTAATTTTTACTTGTATCTATTGTTATCAAAATTAAATTATAAGTTCTTGACTTGACCACGACTATGTGACCCCAAGCTGGATCCGCCCTTGCACTGTGGGATAGTGGTAGCTACCCATAGGGTCTCGTGAACTTTCCATATACA